AAGCACATACAAAACAGTAGGCAATGCAATGTTAACATTCACACACATTTTGCTCCAATTGCTTGGCACTTAAGAAAAAGAATAAGAACTGAGGAAGAAGCAGCCAAACACATGCAAGTAAATTATTTAGATCTGGATACGGAATATAATGTAGCTATTTATATAGAAATCAGCTGCAAATATTTCACTCTATACAATTTTTCTGGTCTAACTTTCGAGGAAGCAAAATTGTTTCTGACACGTTACACATTCTGCAATGCCAAGCTTTGAGACAGGATTGCTGCATCAGAAAAAGAAATTGATTAAGGTTGCATTACAGACAACAGGTTGCTAATGGTGAAATGGGTCCAAAATTAGCTTTGGAGAAGGCATGGTCTTCTCCAGCCTGCAAATGACTTCTTCCATTAATAACAAATACTAGTCTAAAATCCAGCAAAGTAACACACAGTCCCATGCAAAAAGCTGAAAATGCAGAAGCAACAGCATAAAATAGTTTTCTATTGATCTCCTCAGGATGTGATTAAGTTAAAATGTTTAACTTTTCCTTGAGATGGAGAGGGAGGGATTGTTGCTGAAAAGAACAGTCTAGGCAGCAAAACAAGTTCTAGTTATGCTACTCTACGGAACTGCCATGATGGGAACAATAACATACTGTCAGAAACAAAAGGTGTTATTACAAAAGAAGTGAAAGTGTCTGCTTGATACACTGTATGTTATTTAATATCGTCATGCAGAACAAAACGATTGAAACATTTTTAATGCATTCACAGCTGGGTAACAAATAAAACTCTGTCTTGTGCATGCTAGGAGTGGAGGGTCCTCAGAGAAGGAACAGAAGCCAAAACAAAACAAAACAAAAAGAGATTTACAGTGACCATTCCTGGGAACTTACTCAGAGTCTTTGTTCCATAACCGTCGTCACCTAATCCGGGGATGTCCTGCACGGAAGTCCCCAGAGAGAGCAATGAGAAAGGAAGAACAGCCGCAGAAGAGGAAGGAAGAAGTCAGTGGAGTTGAAATGGATACTACCATGACTGACCATGTTGATTGAGCAATCTGGATCCCTGCTTTTTCTCTCTGAAACATCTTTAAACCCATATTCTATGGGAATGCAGCCAATGAAAGAGGCAGTGACCATTATACATGGCTTTTGGAGCTGTGAGGAAGAAGGGACAATCCAATAAACAAAGTCCCAGAAATGATCCTCACCGGATAAATTTGGGAGATAATTATTAAGAAGAAAAATGAATATTAGGGCTTGGAGCTGGCATATATTTTTAATAATGTTGGTTCTCTGTACAATTTAAGCAAGCAGTAAATGCCCAGAGAGGTACACATTCCAAGATCTGATTTACTTCTTTAAGCTGTTAACATGAATGCTTCATTTAATTGTTAAACTTTCAGTGAAGCTGCCCATGGCAATCAATTCGGAGAATGTCAAAGGCAAAAAAGAGATTAGAATGGACCTTTTAGAAAGTAATAATTTAGTTTACCATTGTTAAAGAGATCACAATTGCATTATTTTGAGCCAGTTCTGATCTGGGAATATTTAATCAGAGACAGGTTTGGATTTATGACAGGTGCCACAACAACTTTGAGGAGCCACATCTGCTCTTCCAAAAGTTAAGGTCACTGTTTTATTCTTCTGAAAATGATGTTTCCAGGGAAGGAAGGACCAGCTGGATCCAAACTGCAGTCACACATTGGTCACAGTAGTAATACCTCTCCTGCCTGCCTACGACAGATATTTGCCTAGATGTGTGGGGTACTGGTATCATGCGTGTCACCCATTTTTTGTGCTGCTGCATGTGACATCATCTCCAAGAGGTTACTTACGTTCTGGATCACTTGTTTCCTGCTCACTCTGCTCCTTGCTCTTGTAGAATGGGAATTTTCGTGAAAAGATGAAGTTCTTTTTACGCTTGTCATTGAATGACTGTGAAGGAGAAAAGGCATGGGGCAAAAACAGGGACGTCTAATTGTTGTCACACTCATGCTGACAAAACAACTAGTTTGTAAAAGTGGAGAGAACTGTAGTGACTCAAATCAGTCCAAACCAAGCGGCTGCAAAGAATCAGAGGTGGTTGCGGTGAGGTCTGCAGGATGAAGGCAAAGCCCCTGGAGACTGGATCGATTTGATTACAGAGGTCTCAAATCACAACCTGCAGCTCCTTATTTGGAAACTACCTTGTTTGGCTTGTTCAGATAAAGGGCTACAAATGGCTGAGCATGCTTTGAGATCAAGCCACTCATCTTTAATCATAACAGACTGTGCACAGAATTAATTAACTGGCTGAAAAAGAATAAGCTCTAAAGAGGGAAGTGGAAGCCTTTGATTTACTTGTAGTAGGTATGTGAATTCAGCCCTGTGCCAATTAAAATAAAATACTTTTTCTGGTAACTCTTGCTGATTTCATAGTGTTTTATTTGGCCTCTTAATTGACAACTTCTTAAGTGTGTTTTAATGCTTTTTTTTCATAATTTAACAAAAAATACTTCGTTTTATTTTATACATGTATATTTACTCATTAGGTTCCTCTGCATATGCTTTTAGTTTTATGTGATTTAGAGATGGAATTCTGCTGATAAGCAGTATTTCATTGCATGTTGAGCAACATATATTGCTTTAATTCTTCAAATGGAGAATTAATATGGAAGAAATAGTGTTTTTACATGATAAAAATTTTGACTTTATAGACAGTCGCAAGGGCTCATGGCACTGTACTATGTAAAAGCAGGATATGCCTGCTTGGGACATCTATCTCAGATACTAAATGAGGAATTAGGGTCTCTATACAGTCAACTGAGAGAAGTTGGTATTTCCAGAGCGCACCTGCGCAGAGCTGCAGATAGTGCTTATCTGAAGTGGTCTGTGTTGTCCATCAGATAACGTCTTACTCCTATACTGAATGTATCTAATGCCCAGACACACGACTTTGCAAGTGATCACCTCCAAGAGAGCAGAAACCTTCTTAACTCATTTAAACACCCAATTTCACGTGTTTGCCATTGCTCAAATGAAATGTAACCAGTATTGGGCTCCAATTCTGAAGTGGAATAGATTTAGTGTTTCAGAATATAATTCATTGTCTTATATTTTGTAAGTACAGCATAAAATGTGGTTTAGAATATGTATTTCTGAAAGATGTGAAGTTAGGTACTGAAAATCTCTAGTAAAATAGTTGTCTACTTGCGTCACGAAAGTTTCATGCCACTTTTACATTTCAAGCATATTTAAAGTTCAGTAACTGAAAACAAAGGAAAAAAATGCACATGTAGAATAAATGATCCATGAAAATCTCTCAGAGTATGTAAACATTCAATGTGAAATTAATGTGGAGGTCATGCACAAATAATCCAGACAGCATGCATTTCAAAACAAAGCAAATATGAAAGAAAGCCAGAGGAAAAAAAAAAATGCACGTGAAGGATTAAAGTAATCTGTGGATGAAAAGAGGACTGACATGCACATTATATCACTTTAATAACCTAAAGGATATAATTAAATTAAAATGTGTTTTCTGTGATAATTTCTTTTATTTTTCCAAAGAAAGGAATGTAACATGTTAACATTTCCCATTGTGAAAATGTTGTTTGTCATGATTCATCTGAATTTGACATAGTAATACTATAGGCATTACACTTAAAAAGGGGGAAAAATATATATATATATATATGCAACAGCACCTCAAAAAACAAAGGGGTTTTAAAATTACAATCACTTCATTACCAAATGCCATTTCACTTTGGAATTAAAGACAATGTTATCAAATTGATAAATAATCATGCTGTGTTTCAAAGAGATTATATGATAAATAAACACTTATAAGTATTCTTTTTCAGTATTTTACCCAAAAGTCTATAGCAAAAACTTCAGAAAGTCCATTTTCACCAGAAAAGCATACTTTTTTTTCAAGCTTATGCATGATCTAACAGTATACTCTAAACTAGACAGATATACTATAGTGTTATAGGAACTTTCTCTCCTTTTGCAATTTCAAGAATTGGATTGCCTTTTTAATAAGATATTGTTCCAGTTCAATTTGGACAATCAAAATCTACCAATTCACAGCAGCTGACTGTTATGTCCAACTGTGTCACTGCATTTACACCAGTAAAAAGCCCTGTTCCTAACATAAAGCTTACTCTTAGTTTATTAATCTCCATAAGCAAATTTGTTTATGCATGTGTTAATGTTTCTATAGATTAATCAATGTGTGTATTCATGTTGATGACCATATATACTATCACAATGTAGTCACAGTGATTATATTTAAAATAACAAAAAATATGAAATATTATAAAAGACTAAACTGGGTCTGATCTTGCAAACTTATAGAAATAATTAGTCCTTGGTATTAACTGCATGGGCTTACCAAGTATTTGTTTTCTTGTACATTGAGTGCATGTTGCTTTACAAGAAACCAAAGACAAACCTTGATTTTGGTTTTGTATCCAATATAAATGTGATTAAAATCAGGCTGATGGTCTCTACCTTACGAATATGAAATCCTGAGGACACCCAGCAAAAAGCTTCTTACACATACTATGAGATATATCTCTAACGTATAGAGATAGGGGGTTGGCAAAGAGAGGAGAGGGAGACTCGTACAGAATAAAACCATGTTTTCATTAGATACACTGTGTTAATTCCAGATTTTATTCTGTTGGTGGAGGAGTAGATACCAACACTGAATACGTATTTTCTTTTTTAAGAAAGGACCATGCATATGAGGAATGGTGGTAGGGTTAAACTACAAAATTCAAATGTATGTTTTTGAGAGATTTTATTTCTATAAAATGGAAACTTTGAGACCTGTCAAATATTCTGGAGCTGGTTTTCACAGGGTCTCCCTATGCTGCTGGAGAGGTGTGAAATAGCCGTAGGATAAATGAGAGAGGTATTTGCCTACATATCCCAGCCCAATACAAAAGTTGCATGCAACTGGAATTGAAAGTGTGGTATCAAGCTTAGGCTTGACTCAGCAGTATTTATGTAGGCAAAGTTTCTGAAAGTCAGTGAAAAAGTGCCTGAAAATGGATTCCTATATAAGTTGTAATTTCTTTGCCATGAATATTGTAAAATCCTGCAATGGCAAATAACTTGGGCATTTCAGTCACAGTGAAAAACCTGTACAATAAATTACTTTTATACCTCACTGCCATCAGTTCACACAGACTACCACTAACCTAGGAATTGGCATTAGTAAGCACTTTATATAGACAAGTGCCTAACACTAAAAAGCAAATGAAATTTTCAAGTACTGTTTGACAACTGAACAGTGAGGTCATTCTTCACAGCATTTGAACTGTGATGAAAAAAAGAGTCTTTTCTCAGAAAAAAAAGAGGAGAAAAGCTTTCACCAATGTCCTGGTTTGAATTCTTGTTTGATATTACTTAGGCATAGACTGTGTTTTGGAGAAGCCAGAAAAAAATTGTGATGTGCACTCTTGCTTGACCAAATATCCCCACATGTCCCCAGTTACGCAAGTCTGGCTTACATATACCAACCTTCCCTGGTTGTGACAGACATTAAGACACTGTGTGTTTCTTCTTCCTAAGAATTCCCTTTGGTATTTTTTTGTATCAACATCATTTTTGTATTCTAAATGCTTTTCCCTAGGTGCAGCTACCATATATATATATAATCTGTGTGTTACTCATCAGCTAATAAGATAGTGTATTTTTAAAGGAAACTTTCATGTAATATTAAATAAACAATCCAATTTCAAAATTTGCTTTATAGTGGTAAACTCTACAAGGAATAGTGCATCAGTAATTTGATGGTTGTACCGTACTGCAATAGGCAACTATACCATTGTTTACTTTGAGCTTCTTCTCAATTTTTTTTTTCATAATGTAGCTGATCCAGCCCATGCTGTTTAGTGCAGATGTGCTCTTGATAGAGGTTGTCCTCTTTACACTTTGCAGAATAGCCTAATATGTTGGGGAAAGATTTGTTTTCATGCTCTAAAAGCTCTAAAATCTCTAAAAGCAAAAGCCATTAAACTCCCAAATACATTGGCAATACTTTATTTTGCTATGTCATTCAACCGATGCTAATCCTCAGTCACAAGCTGGGAACCAGTGTTGGGGAAGAACCTGAGAAAAAGCTGTTCCAGAGCACTGGCTGTGAAATTCTTTTTTACAGGATGTAGATATATTTCATTTACCACCTATTTTTAGGCAGGTTTGAGCTAAGATTTAGCCTAGTTTTTACGTTATGTGGTTATCTGTATCAGTCTTGTTCTGAGATTGGTCTAGCAGTGTACATGAGTTCATTCATTTTGCTGCTTCTCATCTGCCATGGTTTTTTTGATTCTTCCCCTTCAATATCTGGTTTTGGCCTAACTTAAATGAAAAGCCCTCACTTATACAGCGTTCTACAAAAATCTACAAAATTTATTGGCAGTATTATGTCCCTGCAAACCTTTTCTCTGTATTTAATTCGCACTTTTTGTATTAGGAATATTATTTTACTCTGTTTGAACACTGACTTTAGTAAAGGTATGGGCACTCAAACGCTGTTAAATCTCTACATGTTAGATCTCTCCCATCATACCAAAAAGTCGCACTGATACCAGAAAGAAAAGTTTTGGACTGTAGCAGATACTTAGTGTCATTTCTCCTTTCAAACATACATATCACCTCTCTTTTATAGTAGGCTTTTTCACTTAGCAATTCAAAATGCATGATGAATATGAAGTCTCCAAAACAAATTTTTGAAGACAATCCTGTGTTAGTATATTTGCTTTATGTGAAAAGTGGTTTTGCAGTTAGCGTGGCAGCATGGTCTGGGGAACATGGGTCAAACTGCACTTTGGGATTTTCTGCCTCATTGTTCCATCTGCAATACTGGGACCATAGCAGTGCCTTCCTTACAGGCACTTTGTGGGGACTAGGTCAATGCTATGACCTGGTGGATACTATCACTG